GATCTTGAGTCTTTTTAGGAAGTGAGCAGGGTATGATTTATATAATAAAATGATTATAAGCCATAGATAAAGAGAGAAGACTGCCCCTTCCACTCCATTCCCCTTCCCTCTTATCTCAGCTGAGCGATAGGCCCCGCAGGAGCCCAGCAGCAGAGAGATAAACACATCAAGGCCCGTTCCAGCTTCACACCAGACCCTGGAATTTAATTTAACTCGTACAGACATCGGTGTTGTCACCCCTGGGGGCTCCCAGAGCAGCCTCACAGAACAGCTGGTAACAGTGTGATGGTTTGCCTTCACACCTCCGATTGAATCGCCAGGGAATCGCACAAAGGCAGGGCCCTGGCGACCATTCCACAGGAAGACTCCAGACTCCCTGACCCCTGTCGGTCTAGCAGCAGCCCCCGAGATCACCCAGTGACCCTTTTGTTTTTCAAGTAGCCAAACCGAGGCCAAGGGATTTCCTCAAAGTCCCACAGCTTTCCCAAGTTTTGTGAAGCAGCAGTGAGGACGTAAACAGCTGGAGCATTTCAGCGAGTGGGTGTGCAGCTCTGGCACAACGGTCTGCCCTTCCTCCTTCCCCACGTGCCGTCCAATGTGGCGCCGCCAGCGAGGGGCAGGCCCAGGGTAGCTATTGTGGTTAAAGAGGGTCATCGGGCACGCGGTTCACATGAGATCCAGGTTATCATGTGAACTCCCCACTTTGTTATTTTAATATGAAATTCTGACTTTTTGTATTAAGCCGTGACTATTTTTATATTAAACGATGACTCTTCCATATTAAACTCTGATTCTGAAAGCAGATAATTCGGTGACAAGGCAGCTTTTGATATGAAACAAATATGGAACCTATTTCTCGTGATCTTTTTAATAATTTTCTATTATCAGCTGAATTTGACCCTGAGCATATTCCACCTATTGATTGAAATCACACTTTCTAACTGATTCACCGTGCATTTTGGTTTTGCGGGCCAATTTACCTTAGAGCTTTTCCCTCATCCTCAGTGTTAGAATTAAATTTTCTGTGCTTGCCTGTTTTATAGCACACTGAACTCTGTCGATTCCATAAAATTTTAAAGCGTGTTTATTTATTGAGCACTTATCATAGCCAAGGCTGGGGAGGAGAGTGATTTCTGGCTAGGGATCTACAGATTTGCAGAAGAGGCAGCCTCTGCCCTGAGGAAGTCGTGATTAACTAGAGAGTAAAATCATTAGCAGATCATTAAAAACCACGTGGTGAAAAAAATAAGGCCAGAAATCACGAGAGAAAGGCCGAACTGCATAAATATTTAAAATTTCTGAGGCAAAAGGCATCATAAATAAAACTAAAGTACAAATGACAAATTGAGGAAAAATATTTTCAACATTTATTACACACTAAAAGGTTAATAGTGTGCATGGATAAAGAACTTTCTACGACTCAATAAAAAAGAAAACAACCCAATAGTGAATGTGCAAGAGACTTGAACTAGACATTCATTTTAAAAGAACTAGAGAAACTTGGTGCTCAAACAAACAAAATATAGATTAAAACAACAAAAATATATTTTCACCTATCAGATTGGCAAAACATTTCAAGATTGATCATGCTTAGTGCTAGGGAGTTGGTAGGGAAATATATACCCACTGGGAAGGGGGTAAATTGAGAAAACAATTTAAAGGCAGTCTGGCAGCATCCATCAAAGATTAAAATGTGAGTATCCATTGACCCAGACAGTCCACTTCTAGAAATTTATTCTGCAGATTTTCTCACTCAAATGCACAAAGATGCTTATCCTAAGTGGTCCACTGCAGCTGCTTCTTCAAGTGGGAAATTTAAAACATTTTATATGTCCATTAGGTTTGTTAAATGAATTAAAGTGTAGTCATAAAATGAAATATTATGCACATATTAAAATAGAATTAATATGAAAAGACATCAAAATATATTAAGTGACAAAAGCAAGAAACTGGACAATATATTCAACATATTCACAATTGTGCAAACATCTAAAACATAAATTTACATATACCTATAGCTTGTGTGCACTTAAAAGGTCTGAAAGGATGTACACGATTGCAGGGATTGCCTTCGGGGAACTGGGATCCTGAGTGACGTTTAAGATTTACTATACACCCTTCTTTTTGTTTGGATTATTTATGATTAGAAAAACTACAGAAATGTAAAAGAATATACCCTAACTCTTCTTGCTGATTCCTGTCCTCCAAGCCTCTTCCCAAACACCGTTTGACTTGCAGTGTTGATTTGCCACGCAAAGACCTGTGGACACTGGGCTAAGGTCCACTTGAAGATTCCTAGTTTTCCACTCAAGTGACCAGTTGATTATGACAGCCCCACAAAGACAGGACCGCAGGAAGAAGAGTGTATTTGCGGAGGAAGTGTAGCTTTAGGCATGTTGGGTGTGAGGTGCCTGGGGAAGGTCCACTTGAAGATTCCTAGTTTTCCACTCAAGTGGCCAGTTGATTATGACAGCCCCACAAAGACAGGACCACAGGAAGAAGAGTGTATTTGCGGAGGAAGTGAGGATAAGGAGTATAGCTTTAGGCATGTTGGGTGTGAGGTGCCTGGGAACCCTGATGGAAATGGCCAGCATACGGTCTAGGGAAGAGCTCTTGCAAGTCCTTGCTTGTAGGTGACAGTGGGTAGATGACACTGAGAGGTTATAGAGCGAGAGGAGAAGATGCCCCTTGATGGGGCACTTTAGAGCCACGCTGGCCATCTTTCTGTCCCTTCAATTCACCAAACTTACCTCTGCCTTAGAAATTATATAAATTTATATGTAAATTATATAAATTGAGACTTTATATATTTCTTATTAGTTGTTCCTTTTATCATGTAATGACCATCTTTATTCTTAATAATCCTTTGGGCACTAACGCCTATTTGCCCAAATATCTATACTGCTTTTGTTTTGGTCAATATTTGCCGAGAATATATAGCATAGAGCTTTTGATAAGAATTTTAATCTGAGAATTTCTATTCTTTCATCAGAAACTTTGGTCTATTTATATAGTTGTCATTATAAATTTTCTTGGATTTAGTTATTTATCTCTTAGTGCTTTATATTTATTATGCTTTTTAAAAACCTTCTGTCAGTGTAATTGAATCTTTTTTTTATTGCATGCTTCCCCTCCACTCATTAAGAGATGATACATCCTGTCTCTATTTTTGATTTTTAATATGCATATTGGGTAGTATCAAGTTAATTCCTATCTACACTTTCTTCCCCCAAAATTCAGGACCTTAGCACACCTTGAATTTTATCATACCTCCCCTATCTTATTATTGCCCAGTATTTTAGTTCACACCTAATTTTTATATCTTTCAGATTATTAGTATTTTATACATTCAATATATATTTATTTTTAACCATGTTTACTATTTCTTTCCTCCACATAGCTCCTTACATTCTACTTTTCCTTTCTG